CCTCCATGGTCAAATCAGTGAACAGAAACCAGCACTAAACAAAAGGCAATTAAAAAAACGTGTGGCACTTGCCAAGGCCCACAGCCTGATAAAAGGATGGACACTGGAAAAGTGGCAGAAGGTGGATTTCTCAGATGAATCCTCAGTTGAATTACATCACAGCCGCCGCAAATATTGCAGGAGACCTACTGGAGCCTACATGGATCCAAGATTCACCCAGAAAACAGTTAAGTTTGGTGGTGGAAAAATCATGGTCTGGGGTTACATCCAGTATGGGGCTGTGCGAGACATTTGCAGGGTGGAAGGCAATATCAATAACCTAAAATATCAAGAAGTATTAGCTCCTCTTACATTCCCAACCATAAAAGGGGTCAAATTTTGCAGATACGATAATTTAAATGACATGTTATCAGCAAAGTTAGAATTTCTTTTTGATCATGGCCCCTTTGATGAAGCACATCTGATGTTTCCATTTGCATGCCATTTAAATAATCTTCAGAAATCAGATTATAATCAGACTTTGGTGTGCCTGTGAACAGAGCGACTGATTTGGAGTTTAATTGAAGGACTGGCCCTTCACAGTGGACAGTATTTGTTTAAGCAGATAGGAACAGGAGACGTTATATTCGCACACACAATAACATCATTAAAACAAGACAAAAGATCTTTTCTTTAACTGTGATAAGAAATCCCCATGTCTCTCATTGTTTTACAGTGGACACTCCGCAGGACGTTCAGAAGAAAGAGCCAAACAAAGTGTCAAAGATTTGTATTTAAGATCAAATCAAAAGAACCAGCTCTGAATCTACAGAAATGCAGCTTATGGGGACAAAATAGTGCCATGAATTTGATCCGTATTGTCTGTTATGAAAGAGTAGCTGAGAAGTGCTTTTTTAAAATAAATTCTAGTGTTGAGTCAAATTCTGTTTAAACCTTTTTTAGAGATATTTTTTTAATCTCCTTAATGAGGACTAGTGGAGTTAAATAGAGCTTTATTTTATACTTCCGTTGTACTTTTATTTTTACTGTGTAGCACTTCGGAAACTTTTGTTTATGAACTGTGCTATATCAATAAAGTAAATAATAATAATAATAATAATAAAGACTGGATTTTGTAATGCTTTTTCATAAAACTTATGAGTACATGTTAATATTTGCTGTACACTGGTCAAACACTGGTCCTGTAATGTCAGTTGTGTCACGGTTTGAAATCTTCTAGTTGTTCAATAGGGAGAATTTAATAGTCTAACCATTATCTCAAGATATCCAATCGTCTAAGAGACATTCTGTAACTTTCACCAGCCTGATTCAATGCAAAAAGCAATTTAAAACCTCGGTGGAGATACGTTTTATGCAATACTGCGGAAGATTCCAGCCAAAGTAACAACATTTCCATGGAAACAAACAAACCTCCTCCACGCCAGGTATGTGAAGATGCAAGCCCGCTCAGCCAAAACACCTGTGTTTTATAAGTGAAATAAAAACTCAATGGCTCTTTGCTAAAATCTCACATAACTATCATTTTACAGATGTTCATTAGTAGTAGAAGTAGCAGTAGTAGTAGTAGTAGTACTAGTAGTAGTAGCAGCAGTAGCAGCAGTAGCAGTTTATTGGGTCATTTTGCAGCACTACAAAACAAAACATGAACTACAACCCCATGGATCATGATCAACAGGGTTTAGGCTGACGTAAAAGTACTTATAATACCAATCCCTATTAAACAATGACAGCATTCCAACAAAGAAAACATCATATGAACAGCAAATTTGCATTTAACATTTCACTTACAACTTATTGTATATATAAGAGACAAAATAAAAATAAAAACAAACTAAATTTAATGCATAATTCATTGTTTCCAGAGCTCTATATCTTTCAAAACAACACTTTATACTCTATATACTTTTTTAAAAGGCTTCTCTCAGAACTCAGATTGTTCCATAAACTCACCCCTCTAACAGAAATACAATTACTTTTTTTCTTAGTTCTAGTCTTCATTTTTTTTAAAGATGACTTTTTTTCTCCCGTTTATGGTCGTACAAACTAATAATGTTAATGAAGGCACAAAAGTTTATCATTTATGATCGTGTCAAATAAATCACAATGAGAGTGGAAAAAATTTAAGGATTTTTTTGTTTTTGTTTATGGTCGTACAAACTAATAATAATGTTAACAAAAGCACTAAAGTTTATCATTTATGAACATACAAGAGAAAAGGTAATGTTAAAGAAAAGCATGTGTGTAGTTAATAGTCGTGGTTTACTTGTGAAGACAATGATTCTAGTCTTTTAGCTATTTGTGTAAGATTTGATTTTTATATTGTTTGTTGAATTGCACCAAGTTAGTCCAAGCTTTGATAAGGTCGTCTAAGGTTTAGGCTGTTCCCCAAGTCTGCTCCACGTCTGGTTCAAGAAAATTGTTTTGCCATTTGTCAGTTGTCAGTTTCAATATGTAACACTGTTAAAATACACTGTTGCTTTCATTTTAGTCTAGGCTTTGGCTCAAAAGTTATGTATTGTGGCTTTAAAATAAAAAAAGACAAATGTATAATCTAGAATAAAATAAATGACTACAAATTTCAAACAAACCACAGGTCAAAAATGTAAAGATGACACTGCACCTTACACTGAGTAAATCTGTCTATTGTTTGTGTCAATAATTAGAGGTTTGTATTTTGGTGGCATGTTATGAAATCCCCTTGCGATACCATGACGACTCAATTCCTTGTGGGTGTGTCTTCATCTTGGACTTTGGCATCGCAAAGATCATATTTTCTGGGTCACATTTTCGAGGAGTATCCTTCTTCTGGATCCTACCCAGAATGCCACATACGCAGAGGGAGAGAGAGTGAAAGCGTGCAGCATAAACCTGTCAACCTCACTTGTGCTTTGCTCACTGCTCTGTCCTATTGCACAACACAGAGCCTGCCATTACTCAGAGGTATTCAAACCGGTGACGGAGCGTTTACACCGAGGGATTGGGCGCACTTCTAATAATAAACTATGTCATGGGAATATCATGGGCGCTAACAGATCTGAGATGTACACGCAAGAGTTAGAATGCCTGCTTTATGAATAAGTAGAGTTTGACAGCGCTGACTAAGTTAGAAAAAGAAAAGGCGCGCACTTTGGGCTTTTCTCACAAGATTTTTGATTGTCTTAATGTTATGAATGAATATGTGTGGAATAATGGGGTTCGTAAGAGGTCGTGAACGGTAAAAATCTTGAAATCAGGTATTGACAAAAATTAATCTCTTTTTGTTTTTTTGAGTATCATGATAACAATAAGCAGAAGATATTTTGCCAACCCAAGAGAAATGTAATAAAATATGTCTATTATAGAGCTCAGGATGGAACATCAAAAAGCATCCGTTGCCATGGAAATCTGACATGCTTGAGGCAAAACGGTCAGAGATATTAGTTAAAACAATGTTAAAAAGTAAACAAAAGCTCGGTTGAACAAACCGATAAACTTAGGGTGACTACTAATTAAGACAACTATCTCTAAGTTTAGGATTTAGCATCTTAAATTTGGTTTAACATTAGGCTCACTGAAAATTCTATGAAGTGGGACGATCACAAGTTCTATTAGTAAGGCCTGACACGATAAATACTATATTGACTTATTGTTCAGTATATGAAATATGGAACAATATATTTTGGGGCTTCATATCAATTGTGTGTACAATTTCTTTGCAGAAGTGGGTTGATTTGGGTATTATGTTGTAATACAATAAGATTCGAGTTGTAAAAGGTTGAATAAGTGACTTTTATGGCTAATTATTGACAAATAATAGTACATTGTTATTCATTCATTACAGCTCCGGCCTTTTAACGATACTGTCCATTTAAAAATGGTTTACTGGGATTATACTGCTTCATTGTTATTATGTCAAGAGGCACAAGTAATTTCATTATCGTTTATCACAGTATATCTCATTACTAATAATGCTTCAAAGTTTGTCGTCATCGCAGGCATACCATTGGTTGTGATATACTAGTATATAAAAATGTCAAATAAAGGTAAACATTTCAGTTTAGATGTTAACAAAATAAGTTATTTCCATTTAGTTACAATCAGTAACTGTTTTCCATCTTAATATAAATAATATACAAGAGATTCACATTTAGCATAAAAAAAAATACATACACACACAATATTAATGATTATTAATCATATTTGCCATTTCCAGACTTTAACTGCTGCTGCTTTGTCAAATTTCACATACAAAGTTTGGCACACTAATAATACTCATCTATCTGTATGTCTAATACCTAACTGTATGTCTTCATATGACCTCTTGAATAAAGCTGTGATTTTATTTTATTACTTATTTTTCCATTTTATTTTGACATAAACATATACATTTATAGAACTATGTCTTATTTCACACCTGTCTCTTGCTCTTTTTGCTACTTATTTAGAATTTATTATTACTATTTATATATTTTTTCTCTTTGTCAATATATTATATTGTGATGTGTAAGCTTCTGTATCTAAATCATTTCCCTTATGGATCAATAAAGTTTGTCTAAAGTCTAACAACAGATTTTAGACTAGCCTCAGGTACAAGTTTGTTATTTAGGTCAATAATTTATGCTTACTTATTTATGTATTCAAATTCCCATTAAAAAGCTAAACGACAAACGGGGGCCTGATCTTGTGTGACTTCAGTGACTTATTGATTATGCGTAGAATCCACGGGCCGTTCAACCTGTTGGTTTGAGATTCTGCTCAACCTTAGCTTTCATCCTCGGAGCATCGATACTATTGTGGTCCTTAATTATACCTGACAACTTAAGTCCATAACTTTCGCGTTGAGATTAGCTGTAGTTAACTCGGCTGCAGTTGACAGCGGGTTAACTCGGAGCATTAGTGAGAAAGCCAGTTAGCCCACAATTAGCAACGACACCTGAGAAGTGCTGCTACGAGTGCTAGCCAAGTTTCGAGCTTCATCTTTTGTGCCATCCTGTTTACACTTGACGGATCTTTTGACTCACCGTTCGTGTAGGGCTGCCCTGCTCCCGTCCCGTTCTGAGAGTTGAAACCCGTAGTTGACATGTTGAACAAACACACAGATGCAGAGGCGAGGCGAGCCGCGTCTTCAGCTAGCCCTGGATGCTAACACTTCACCGCTACGTCAAAAGCTGTAGCCGAGGCGCGCTGTTTCCGTCGCGAAATCGGTGTAGTTCACAGTGGCAAAGCGGTTGGATTCGCGTATCAGTGGGCCATGGCCGCTCCCGAGAGGCCGCGGAGCCCGTAGAGCCGTGTCGGGGGGGTGTCTCTGGGCCTGCTTTGGGCTCTGATCGCGGCTCGGAGGACTGAGAAGATTCGCCTCTTTCACCGGAAGTAACGGCGGAAGTTGGGATCACCCAGAATCAGCGTAAAAGAGCCGCGCATGCGCAGTCTGTACACGTGGCATTTCCTCCAGTGCGCCACATAATCCACTGGACTGGAAACAAGACAGAGTGAATACTATTATCTCTGTTTTACTTCAACATAATCATATACACAAAACAAAGTGGATTCAAAATAAACTAAATGGTCACCAGTATATTAACAAAATATAACAATATTTTCAAACAATAAAACAGATCAAAAACAAAAAAGCATACAAACATACAATATCTATAGGAAATACTTATAACAGTATCACTCTCCCCGACATTTTATGCTACATTTTATTTTATTTGGTTAATATACTTGTTTGTTTGTTTGTTTGTTTTGTTTTTGTTTGTTTGTTTGTTTGTTTTTTGTCTTGCTTTGATTTCTCTGTCTCTCTCTCTCACTGTTGTGTAATAGAGTGCATATCACCCCAGGTACCCTATGTGTTATCCATGTGAGTTTGTGTGTCTTTGATGTCCCTGTATTTGAACATGCTGAATAATAATAATTAAAATATATATATTCTACTTAAAGATACTGAAATTTGGGGACCTGGTAAAGTTTAAAACATGCCAAATCTTATTTAAAGTGAAACTCAACCTGCTCCCAGATAACATTCAAAAACTGTTATGCTCAAATTCAAACACAACCTGAGAGGTTAAATTAATTTTAAGAAACAGTTCTCTGGAACCACTCTCAAAAGTGTTACAGATGTGGAGTAGACTTAGGAAACTGCTTAGATGACCATATCAAAGCTTGTACTAACTTGGTGCACTTCAAAAAAACAATATAAAAATAAAATCTTACAGATACCCAGAAGACCAGATCCATTGTCTTCACAAGTAAACCACGACTATGAACTAAACACAGGATTTCTTTTAACATTTTCTTTAACATTACCTTTAATTCTGATACGATCATAAACGCTTTGTGCCTTTGTCATTATTATTAGTTTGTACGACCATAAATGAGAACAAAAAAAATCTTAAATTTTTTCATTCTTATTGTGGTTTATTTTGTACAGTCATAAACAATAAACTTTTGTGCCTTCATTAACATTATTAGTTTGTATGACCATAAATGAACAAGAAAAAAATCCTTCCATTCTTCATTCTCATTTTGCTTATTTTGATGATCATGGCGTTAAAATTATATTTAGTATGCATAGTATGTCTTTTATTTTGCTATATCTAAATACTTATAAAGTTTCGTCATCAATGTGCAGAAGCAACCACATCATTTTTGAATTTTTGAAATTATGTCCTGAACAGTGGTGGGTTAATATATGTTTTTTTTTTTTTTTCTTCTAGCCAATTCTTTTTGAGAAATGTGCTTTCCTGTTGTATATAATGTATCTGTAGTATGTGTATGATTATTGTTTCTCTCTTGGCACAAACGAAAAAACAAATCTATGTTTCACTGCGTTATTGAAGGAGCAAATTTTTGTAGAATAATGTTTTTTGCTCACTTCATTTATGCATAATTCAGTGCTTTAGAACAGCTTTTCTACACTTGAGCCTTGATATTTCACTTCAGTCACATTGGATAATAGTGTATAGGTAAGGCAAACATGTTAAACATTTTTGAGGATAAAAAAAGCCACAGTTGCCAGCCAGAGCACGGAGGTCTGAAGCAGTGTAAATGAGGCTAAAAACAATAGTTGCAAGATTCCAAGTTGAAGGAATGTGTGATTTGTTTTGAGCGCTGAAATTATCCAAATTTGTTGGGAGAAGTACTGCATGATTTACCATTTGACATTTGGTAAATGATGGTGACATATACAGTATACAGTGCTTTTCTACCTCCAGTACACTTTACACACCTGAGGGAACAGGGACTGAACAGCCAACCTTTGAATCAGAGGATGAACACTTAACCAAATGAGCCACTATCACCCAAAAGCAACCAGATTAAACTCTGGAGATGACATGGCCTACATCTAAACAAAACATGCCTCCAGGTTTATTTACGATGGGGAAACAAATTATAACAGGGCCAGAGGCTATTTTCATAGGACAAACAAAGTGTTGTCACTTTTCCTTGTTCCATTCATACTTATATTTAGAATGACTTTAATTGATTCCAAATACATTGAAGCTTGTTATCTGGGTAACAGCACACAGTTCTGCTTGAACAGCAGAATCCACACTGAAGTTGATGTGATTGGTGATACTCTGTTTAAACTCACTGATGTCCTCCCCTGTGTGACTCAGTCTCTCCTCAGAGCAGCCCTGAGGGTGTCCTGTGCCGTTTGTCGTGCTCCTCACAGACTTAAAGTCTGTGAAGAGCATATGTACATATGTACACACACATACACACACATATACACACACACACAAACACACACACACACACACACACACAGGTGGAGGAGGGGTGCAACAAGTCCTGATTTGGCTTACCCACACAAACATGTATATTACAAAGTTAAAGGATGCTTTACATTTCCCCCTTTTTCTCATCACACAGAATTTAGTTTGAATAAAGGATGTTATTCCTTGTCATTTGGGAGTGTTCCGTATAATAAAGATTTCATCTGAAGATGCCTTTGTTTTGTTCCTCATTCAAGAGGAAGAAGAAACTAGTCTGAAAACTGAATTTTACATAAGTATAAATATCACAAAATAGGTGTATATAAGTACACAGACAGAACAAGCCAACAAACCCTTCAGAAAACAAAAAGGTTATATTTTCATATTGACTCTATTTTTTATAATTTTCCTAATTTCATCAACAGTTTACAGAAGTGTTTTACTTTTGTTACTTTTGTAATATTCTGTCCAGTGATGGACTGGAACCTTCCTGTTGACATTTTTGAGACACAAAACATTCCAGAGTAAGCGCTTAAGGTGCATGTTTACAGTCTGTTATATCTGAGATTAGATCACTGACTGATGACTCTAGGAAGAGCAGCTGTGCTTCCACAGAGAATGGAGATCAAAATAAAATGTATGGATTAAATAAAAATGAAAATTTGTGGTACAAAGTTACATTCTGACAACATAAAAACAACTTATTATTATTGATTATCATTGACACCATAGATTTTCAGAAGATTCCAAAAACTCAACAAGCAGAAGGGAGGTGAACCGCAAATCCTAATGACACACTTTTGAACATACCAAAATAAAATTATTCACCCAGGCCAGTTATTCAGTTTGCCTGGAAGAGTCTATAATACAATCACAGGCATATAGAAAATATCTTATTGCATTTAGTTTCCTCAAGACGCGCTATATAGTAGTCTGGCATTACCAGTCAATAAAACATTTTTTTTTTCTTTTTTGATTGCAGAAGAATAGGCCAAACTGGAAAAACATGCATTCTTATTGTGAGCAGGCTCACCTTTCCAAATTTGACTTGTAACTTGCCTAGTGGAGCCTCATGCTTTTGTCCAAGGCTTTATTGTAACATTCCAGTCAAATTAAAAGCAAACCTCCACCAGAAAAGTTACATAGTGCACTTTTAGAATATACACCCTGGTGAGCTCACAGTCTGGTAAATGTACTGAAGCTAGTCTAAGGCAATATTCAATACATTTAGAGAATAAATAAATAAATAAATAAACAAATATTGTAATTAAAATATTAGTGTTGTACGCATGTCTTTTCCTCTTTCTCTGTCGGACTGATGAGAGTGACACAAACAGGAAGCGGCTGGGCTGGAGCTTTTCGGGCAGAGTTGTTGGTCAGACAGCCATTGCGGTATCGTGGCTCCGTAACTAAACGTCAAAATCCACGTAAAATTGGGCCTGGCAGCACACGGGGAGCCTGTTTTTACATGAATATACGAGCTAACACTTTACCACCACCGATCTACGTCTAAAAAACGGGTAAGTTACGGAATAGAGCTTTAAAAAACAGCGAGAGGACAGGCTCGGTTACGGATTCGGCAGCTCGGTTAGCATATTACCCCGGCTGCTAATGCTAAGGCTAACATTACTAAGAAATCTTGTATAATTTAACACCACGTACTCGTTTTATTAGATGATCTAGCATGATTTATGGATTATACGATATATAAGCACCGCAATAGTCTTGTTCGATCGTTTTACGGAGTTATCTGGAGGCATTTTAGGCTAATATTTGTGCTTTTGCTATCGTAGCCGATGGGTGCTACGTCGCCGCTATTGGAGAATATGACACGTAGCCGAGGCTTCTTCTGAGCAACCTGTTAGCCATCTTCACCCAATTCTTATTAAAATACCACTACAATCACAATTAGTTTACAAAAAATCTGAAATGGTGCTTAACTGCGTAGTTTCTTCCGATCTTAACAACATTTAAGTCGTGAAACCTATAGCTTTTTGATTGCGACATGGCTAACATAGAGAATGTATTTTGACACTGTTCTTGGAGAGCTCATTACATCACAACAGATAAGAATTTAATATGTAAAATAGTTCTTGTAAAAACACGTTTAAGTGTATTGAATAAGACCTGACATAAAAACAAACTGATGAGTAAGTTAACCCTGCTTCATAATACGTACTTTTTTCATGTTGATAATATGACTCAGTGTTTTTATAAGGCGAGTTAGTGCAGCAGATTCATACACAAAGTACTTTACAGAGATAAAATGCATTCAAATCACATCACAGTACAAATACAAATACAAATATAAATAATCAATAAAATGTACTTAAATATAAACGTAAATAGTAAATGATTTAGGGTTAGGGTTAGAAGAATGCTGTCGTATGCTCAGTTTAACAGAACTGTTCTTTAAAGCTTGTTTTAAAATATTTTGTGTATTATTATGAATTAGGGTTGTCAAAAGTATCAAATCAGACACTAATCAATATCAAAACTAGTATTGAAGCTAATCTAAGCAGGTATTGTCCCATTTAAAGGACAAATGAAGCTCTCGTGAATAACTTAAGAATGATCTTGAGCTGTACCAGAACAAGTAGAAGAGCACATAGACTAGTGCGGACCACTATGGAACCTACCTGGACCACTGAGGAATTAAACATGGGAAGGAAGTACTATGATTTTATGTTGAAAATCACATTCTATTGTATAAAGAAAGAATCTTTTTTTGTGTGTGTTTTTTATTATAGTATTAGAATCAGCATTGAGTATCAGGTCTGTTCCTTTGTATCGAAATCAGACTTGAAATGTTATTCTCGCAACACTAGAAAATATGTAATGGTAATGTCATAATTTGCTTTGAATTAAACAATCAAGATTATAGACTCTATCTAGTAATTAAATTCTAATTATAGAAATAAGAACTGGTCAAATTCTTGGATAATTTTGAAATTTAAGGACATTTTTAGCCAAGTCTTTATAATTCTACCATAGCAAGTTAAACAATTTGCTAATTATGTAAACAGGTAAAACTTCACTGCATTATATCATTTTGAAAGCCACCATTTGCTTTTCTGTTTACATAATTTGAGGTTGTTGCGTCATTAAACTCTCAAAACTCTGAAATCTAACACCTGGATTCTATTTCCACTGTCAATCCCTCTTTGATTTAAACCTTAAATGTATTGAAATCTCAGTTTAAATGGGATGTAATGAGTAAATCACAAAGGCTGCCATTTTTAACCACTGTAATTTCCTCCACAAACAATAAATCTCCTGTTTTATTATGCGTGAAAACTGCTGTAATTTAGATTTGTACAAACATGTTCTGAAATGTGATTCTTGTATTCGTTTGTCAGCCTTCTTTTTGTTTAAATTTTTGAATTCAATAAATTAAACTAATGACTGAAATATGAGCCATTTGTTACTTTATTGAATTCAAAAATTTTAACAAAAAGAATAAATTATTAATTATTAAATCACTACATTGTGGTTTTGTCATGATACCAAAACTGAACTCCTTGGATACTAAGGAATAGACTCGATACTCAATACCGATTCCCATACCATGATAATAATAGAAAGTCACTCTTCCACTTCAATAGAATGTGATTTTTAACATTAAATGGTAGTACTTTCTTTTCAATTCCCATGTGTTCTTTTATGTGTGTAATCCCTCAGTGGTGCAGGCAGGTTCCATAGTGTCCGTGTGTATACTAGTCTATGTGCTCTTATACTTCTGATATAGTTCTGATCGAAGTCAAGATTATTCTAAAGACATTCCGAGTATCTAGTTTTGATATTTGTTTTCGTATTGATTAGTATCTGATTTTCAATACTTTTGACAACTATAGTAGACTGCAACAAGTTTACCAAATTCATGGGAGAAGCATTTCGCCTGAAGCTGCAGCTCTGACATAATGTGACAAACCTTGAGTCAAATTTAAGGAGCGTGCTCAGACTGGTTACAGGTGGCTTTACATAGAGAATAGATTCAGTTCAGTTACAGTCCATGTAGTAGGCCAAAGGGACCAATAATAAAAGGATGACTCACTACACACGACTCACAATTCAGATATACTGAGATGTACTGTAAACAAAATGAGTTTGACAAGTGACAAAAAGAACAATGCAACCAGTTCTAATTTTATTCTTATCAGATGCTGTCTTAAATATCTCTTAAATATCCCCTGACTCAGTAGCAGTTATCCCCTCTATACTAAAACTTTACATAGAAAAAAATTTAAGATTTTCCCTCCCCCTACTCCAAATGTTGTGCAGACTACAGAAAATAGAAGTATAATATCATATAATAGTATATGAAGTGATCAGATTTAACCTGTTGGCCACTGGGGGAAATCTCTCCCCATTTTATGAATGAGTTCAAACAAACTCGGCCTAACACTGTTGTGGTTGCAGAATCTGTGTTAAACTCTTGTGTTTCTCTTCTGTGATTCCCATGTGAAGGAAGAGCTCATCACTTCTAAAACACTGGTCCCTGTGACTGCAGTGAGCCGCCTTTCTTAAATTTCTCATGCAATTTCCAATGCAAGAAAGTGGGAGAAATCTATTTTCTTCCAAACAAATTGATTTAAACTTGAAATTCAATTAATCAGTTTAATAAATTTTTTTCTCCCAGCCCTAATTATTTCTCTCACCATGTTTTTGAAGTGTGTTGTTTCAATCCTAAAGTTGCACTATGTAACATTTCTGTGGAGGCTCTGCCACCTGCTTGTCTCTATGTAGACCAGATGATGTCACTGTTACTGGTCAAATCTGTGGAGTGGCGACCCCACTCATACTCACAGTACAAATGCTTTATTCTCAAGGTGAATTTTCATTTTCAGATGCATTTAATACCATACTGTGGGAACACTGAAAGCAAAGCAATATCATCGCCATGGAGATGGGCAGACTACAAAAGTTGCATTGTATATCTTTAAAATGTATATTATATTTTAAATTTTTCTTTAGACCTGGTTTAGTTGAAGTTATTTTATCGATTAGTCCTGATTCAGTGCTCCAGACATCATTTACTCCTTTTTTTTATTTTTTATTTTATGTTCTGAAAAGTAAAATGTCTCCTCATCTGAAAGTCCCTGGTCATATGTAGCGTTTAATGGCAGTAGTTATTTAGTGACCTCAGTGAGAGGCCATTTTGAGAATCCCAGAGGTGGATTGTATTAGTTTGCCTAATTTTGCTGCTCATTTGTTTGTCGTCTGTGCTGCGTTCACTGAGCTGTTAACGGTGTAGTAAAATGGACTTTCAATCATGGCTTTTGTTTACACAGAGCCTGTGTAAAACCACTGTACTCCCAGTGTAGACATTAAAGAAGCATTTCTGAGAAGGCTTGCCTCTCCACAGATGTGACTTGTAAACTGGCCTTTTCCCACCCGCTTCTCCTGTTGGTCACCCTCAGAAATGCTGAATGAGTGGCAGGTGGATTTAACCTATTGTAATGAAGTGTGATCTTTCCGATGAAGCCGTGTCTCTCCTTTAGGACAATAAACTATAGCTAGTGTTATCGTTACGATAACATTTCAACCTCGATTTTGATATTAAGCAATACTAGTCTATGTGCTCTTATACTTCATCATTCTGAAGGCGTTCAGGAAAGGTTCATTTCTGTCCTATGAATGGCACATTTTTAGTATGACCTGCTCAAATGAGGATCTAGTTTAGATACTAGTTTTCACATCTGATCTTCAATATTCTGACAACCCAATATTAAAAATGTGCTCATATGGGCCAGTGGTTGGCACCATTATTTCTGCACTGGCCCAGTCTGTGTCATTCTGTGAGAAACATGTCATTTGTCAGTGCATCAGCTTTACCTTTTGAACTGACAAAAATGAAATGGAAGAAAAATAAAGCTAAAAATATCCCTTAACCTACATTTTTGGTCTTTTCTATGGATTTAAATCACTGCACATGGGATGGTCTGTAAGGCCCAGTGCCGTGTGGAGGTGTGGGTGACGTGAGCGCTCTTTGGCTCACTGCTCTTTGCTCTGTGCAGCTGTTATGTCATGTGGGACAGAGGTGGACCAGAGCCTGTCACTGTCAAACCCGGAACCCAGCTCCAGTCAATGAGTTTAAAACAGACCTCTTATACAAAATCCACTTTTCAGAGCTTTTAACCATGTTGTAATAATTGTTTTCCTTCTCATTTACTCTCTCCAAGTTGTATTCGGAATTATTTGTGCATGTTTAAGCTAGGGATGGGCATTCGATGAAATTTTCTTAATTGATCGTCGGAAGAATTAGCGATCGATTATCGATTAATCATTAACGTTTTTATATTAAAATGATCATCATTATTATTAGTATCTGCACTACTAATCTGCATAAATAAATTCAACTTTACGACATATAAACCGTAACGACTCTAGAGCCACATCGATCCGTTTGACATTATAATGTGTTTAATGCAGTTTTGCGCAACTCTCACAGAAATGAAACTTAAAACTGCATCGCTAATTTGCATAAACTCAGCGAAGATAAAACTGCAGCTCTTGTGTCGCTGATAAGGTCAACTTCTGTCGGATTAAAAGACATGATTCAGTGGAATACAGGTTAGTGTGACCAGATTTGCATTTGTCAAAACCAGGACACCGTACGGGGGTAGGGAGGTGGGGACTCGTCATCGACATTGCGCGACTCTCACCTGGTAAAGCTTTTTCCCACTGGACACCGAAACATATTTTCCTGCTTTGTACACTGTGCACATGGACTCACACTTGTCCCGAACACAACGGAAAGCGTGGAATTTCTTGTACAAGCCATCGTTAAATACACATTTGTGCTTCGGTACGCTGCAGACTGACCGAATGCTTCTGTTTGCTCGCTCCTTCTGAGTGCAGAGAGCTACATGTATGGACCCCTGTTTGGTCACGCTACGCACAGCAACCTACATTCGGTTTGTCAATTAAAATTAACATAATCGATGAAATTCTTAATGATCAATTATCGAATAATCATGCCCATCCCTAGTTTAAGCAGTCTTTAATTCACTTACTTTGTTCTCCAATATTATTTTCTTAATCTGTGATTTGGCAGTGTCATTTTGGTACAAATGATGAACAAATCAGTCTTGCTAGTGTGATGTGCAGCTCTCGATAGGAAGGGCCTACATGTCTTTGTTGGGATGATGTTTACA